GGCATTTCCTTTTGTGGGCCTCCAATTTGCCACCATTTTTTTTGTAGTAGAGATTTTTTTTTTAGGCCATCATGAATCTTTCCTCTTCTAGGCCACCATTTTTTTATTGGGTCTTTTCTTTTGTGGACCTCCAACTTGCCACCATTTTTTTTTTTTTTAGGCCATCATGGATTTTTCTAGACCATCATAGACCTTTCCTTTTCTAGGCCACTATTTTTAATTGGGTCTTTTCTTTTGTGGGCTTCCAACTTGCTAGCATTTTTTACAGCAGATTTTTTTCTAGGCCATCATGGACCTTTCCTTTTCTAGGCCATGGATTTTTCTAGACCATCATGGACCTTTCCTTTTCTAGGCCACTATTTTTTAATTGGGCCTTTTCTTTTGAGGGCCTCCAATTTGTTTTCTAGGCCATCATGGATTTTTCTAAACCATCATGGACCTTTTCTTTTCTAGGCCACCATTTTTTTAAATTGGGCCTTTTCTTTTGTAGGCCTCCAACTTGTCACCATTTTTTTACAGGATTTTTTTTTCTAGGCCATCATGGATTTTTCTGGGCTATCATTTTTAATTGGGCCTTTTCTTTTGTGGGCCTCCAACTTGCCACTTATTATTTTTTTAGGATTTTTTTTTTACAACATATATATATATATATTTTAGGAATTTGTCTAAATGGAATAGGATGGATTGGCATTGGTAGGATTTCTAATCCTATACAAACTCTTACTTAGTATTTCAAATCCTACCTAAACTCTTGCTTGTTTGAAGTATTTTAAAAGAACACTACCTCCTTTCTTAAGCAAGAATTTTTTGCTTTATATAACACCTATTCATATATTTTTTTCCTGCAGCCCCCCTTTTTTTTCCTGCAGATTTTGTTTCTCCCAGCAGATTTTTTGTTTTCTAGAAAATTTCCAGCAACTTTCCAGCCATTATTTTTCTTATTTTTTTTTGTTTTCCAGAAAAATTCCAGCAACTTTCCAGCCATTATCTTTCTTCTTTTTCCAACAAAGTTGTTCTTCTTATACTTTAAAGAAGATACAAAAGAATCTCTTCAAACTCCTTTAAATCAGGTATGCTTTCTTTTCCATAAAATATTTTCTTTCAGCATGTATATCACCATGTGATGGCCCTTCCCAAAAATTTTTACTAGACCCTAAGTCCACAAATTCTGGACTGCTTTAAAGGATATAAATTTGTGTCCGTTAATTATAAAGGGGTTTATGGCCTCCAGCAAAATTTATGATAAAATTTTTCCTCTGCTCCAGCAAAATTTTAAGGGACAATTTGTGGACCAGAAATAATTCTGGACTGCTTTGATTACAAATTTATGGCCTCCCAACGCTAATTAACGATTCTTTAAAACCATTCTTCACGTTTTACTAGACCCTAAGCTCAAGTAGTCCCAACAAAGACCCTTCTTGAAAGGATGAATAACCTACTGCCTTCTTTCATAACAAAAGTTGTAGCCTCTTTTCTTTTTATTATTTTTTTTATTTTTACTTGTACAAAAAACCCTGCTGCCTTTCAAGCAGATTTTTTTTACTAGCCCAAAGACCCTTTTTTTTTTTTGTAACAGTTTAATCTGCTCTCTTTTATTTACCTTCCAACAGAAATTCTCCTCTCCATGAACCTTTTTATAACCCATGAAAATTTCCACAAACCTTTTATGAACCTTGTGTATTTTATTGTCACAGTTTACTCTGCTCTCTCTTCTTTTTTACCTTTTTATAACCCATGAAAATTTCCACAAACCTTTTATGAACCTTGTGTATTTTATTGTCACAGTTTACTCTGCTCTCTCTTCTTTTTTACCTTTTTATAACCCATGAAAATTTCCACAAACCTTTTATGAACCTTGTGTATTTTATTGTCACAGTTTACTCTGCTCTCTCTTCTTTTTTACCTTTTTATAACCCATGAAAATTTCCACAAACCTTTTATGAACCTTGTGTATTTTATTGTCACAGTTTACTCTGCTCTCTCTTCTTTTTTACCTTTTTATAACCCATGAAAATTTCCACAAACCTTTTATGAACCTTGTGTATTTTATTTTTTTTTTTACCTTCCAGCAGAAATTTTCTTCTCCATGAATCTTTTTATAACTTATGAACCTTGTGTATAACCTGCTGCCTTTTTTTTCACAATTTAATCTGCTCTCTTTTTTTTTACCTTCCAGCAGAAATTGTTCTTCTTATAAGGCCATATCAAGTATGCTTTCCTTTTTTTTTTTTTTCATGTCTTTTTATTTCTTTTGTAGGCAACACGCAAGGCGTCAGAGTTTGTTTGCAGGTATCATTGCCCCTTCCAACCTAATGGAAGTAAGTAGCTTGAATCCTTGGCAGTGATTGTGTCCGTCACCCCAACGGCTTGATTCCTTGGCAGTGATTGTGTCCGTCACCCCAACGGCTTGATTCCTTGGCAGTGATTGTGTCCGTCACCCCAACGGCTTGATTCCTTGGCAGTGATTGTGTCCGTCACCCCAACGGCTTGATTCCTTGGCAGTGATTGTGTCCGTCACCCCAACGGCTTGATTCCTTGGCAGTGATTGTGTCCGTCACCCCAACGGCTTGATTCCTTGGCAGTGATTGTGTCCGTCACCCTAACGACTTGATTCCTTGGCAGTGATTGCATCCGCCACCCCAACGGCTTGTGTCCGTCACCCCAACGGCTTGAAACCTTGGCACAGTGATGTGTGTCCGTCACCCCAACGGTTTGAGTCCTTGGCAGTGATTTGGTGTCCCGTCACCTAGGCCAGCACGCCTTTGATCTGGTTGGCCAGTAATGATTGTTCCGGTCAC